AGTACAGAGAGAATGTACCTCAACATAAAAAAGCCACATATAGTAAGCCTACAGCTGACATGATACTTCTAAAATAAGGAAAAAGACAAGGATGCCAACTTTTGTCACTTTTATTCAACAGATAACTAGAAGTCCTAGCCACAGCAATTTGGCAAGAAAAAGAAATAAAAGGCATTCAAATTGTAGAGGAAAAAGTAAAACAGTCTCTATTTACAGATGGCATGATATTATATGTAGAAACCCTAAAGACCACCAATAAACTGTTAGAATTAGTAAATGAATTGAGTGAAGTTGCATGATACAAAATCCATATACAAAAATCAGTTGTATTTCTGTATACTATCCAAAAGAGAAATGAAGAAAATAATCCCAATTACAGTTGTATCAAAAGATTAAAATACCTAGGTAGAAACTGCACCAAGGAAATAAAAGTACTGTACACTGAAAAGTATAAGACACTGATGAAAGAAATAGAGGAAGACAAAAATAAATGTGTTCGTTGGTTGAAAGAATTAATATTATTCCAATGTTAATACTGCCCAAAGCAATCTACAGATTCAGCGCAACCCCTTTTGAAATTCCAATGGCTTTTTCCCCAGAAATAGAATAAACAATCCTAAAATTTTCATGAAACCACAAAAGGCTTGAAACAGCCAAAACAATCTGGAGAAAGAACAAAGCTGGAGGCATCACACTTCCTTATTTCAAACTATATTACAAGGGAGTAGCAGTCAAAACAGCATGGTATTGGTATAAAAACAGACACATATTTCAATGATCATAATAGTCCTTTTGTATATATGGTCAATTTTTTTTGTGACAAAGGAGCCAAGTACATACAATGGAGAAAGGACAATCTCTTCATTAAATGGTTTTGGGAAAACTGGGCAGCCACATACAAAAGAATGAAACTAGACTACAATCTTATGCCATACACAAAAACCAACTCAAAATGTGTTAAAGATTTGAATGTGAGACCAAAAACCATAAAGCCCTTAGATGAGGACATGGGGTAAGTTCCATGACATAGGTCTTGGCAATGATTTTTTTTTTATTTGATGCCAAAAGCAAAGGCAACCAAAGCAGAATTAAACAAGTGGAATGCACCAAATTGAAAAGCTTCAAAACCACAAAAGAAAACCATTAACACAATGATAAAGACATTCTTACAGAATGTCTCCCTTACAAGGAGAAAATATTTGTAAGTCATGTATCTATTAAAAGATTGATATCCAAAATACATAATGAACACCTACAATTCAAAAACCAAACCAAAAACAATCCAACTAAAAATGAGCAGAGGAACTGAATGGATACTTATCCAAAGAAGACATACAAATGGCCAACAGGTACATGAAAAGGTGGTCAACATCACTGATCATCAGGGTAATGTAAGTCAAAACTCAGTGAGATATCACTCACACTTGTTAGAATGGTTATCCTCAAAAAAACCAGAGATACCAAGTGCTGGTGGGGATATGGAGAAAATAAAAACCATGTGCACTGTTAGTGGAAATGTAAATTGGCACAACCACTATGGAAAACAGTATGGAGGTCTCCAAAAAACAAAACAAAACAGAAAACAGAACTAATGTATGATCCACCAATTCTACTTTCAGTCATCCATAGGAAATGAAAACAGGATACCAAAGAGTTATTTGCACTCCTATGTTTATCATAGCATTAGTCAAAGTAGTTAATATGTGGAAACAACCTAAAGTCAGCCAGTGGATAAATTGATAAGAAGATGTGGTGCATGCACACACACACACACACACACACACACACACACACACACACACACAATGGAGTATTACACAGCCATTAGAAAGCTGGAAGTCCTGCCATTTGTGACAACATAGATGGGCCTCGAAGGCATTATGCTAAGTTAAATAAGCCAGACAGAGAAAGACAAGTACGGCATGGTATCACTTATAAGTGGAATCTAAAAACAAAAAAAGAAGTCAAACTCATAGAAACAGAGGGTGATTAAAGTGGTTGCCAGTGCCAGTTGTGGAGAATTTGGTAAAATGGTACCAGGTATAAGATGAATAAGTTCTGAAGATTTAAAGTAAAATACAGTAATAGCTACTACCTTTGAACTTTGATAAGCTGTAGTAGTTTTCAGATTGTTTGAAGAACAATAAAAATCTGGTATTAGTGTAAAAAGAAAATAAAGGAAAACACAATGATGACTGTTGATAACATTGTATTTTGTAGTTGAAATTTGCTAAGAGGCTGGAGCTTCAATGTTCTCATACACACAAAAGTTAAATATATATGGCAATGGATTTGTCAATTAACCAGATGGGAGGAATCCTTTCACAATGTATACATATATCAAATCACCACAATGTACACTTTAAATATTTGTTTTATTTGTCAATTAGACTTCAATGGAACTGTTAACAAAAAAAAAAAGAAAAGAAAAGAAAAAGTAAACACAGAAAACAGAACATGTTTGTATACAAGCAGGGCCTTCTTGAACCTCCTGCATGACTTTTTTTTTTTTTTTTTTTTTTAAATAATGTGAGATAGGTTTTCACTGAATTATGATTGTTGGTCAGAGGTCATGGTGCTTCCATTTCTAGGCTTTGGTCCATCTGATGATAATTTCTCTAGGCAGATGGAGCAGAGATGCTCTGTGAAGCACTACTACATCTCCGAATGACTAAAAACAAGCTCAAATGCTGATTCTATCTTATGGCTCCAGATACTTCTACATGCAGAGAACTGTTCCACATTTATTTTTACTCTTCCTTTTCATCTTATAATTCCTACAGTTTACTTGGGAGATTATACAGTTTACTTGGGGATGTGGCCTTAACTGTATACTGCTTTCAGATTGCATTTTGTCTTTTTTTCTTTTTTTGATAGCCCTAGGATTGAAAACCAACACTTGACAAGTAACTGTCTAGATCATTGTACAAAGAATAGTGTTTTGCTTTTTTTCTTGTGTTTATTAGGAGTTTCTTTTTTAAAATTTTTTTTTTTTCTCAACGTTTTTATTTATTTTTGGGACAGAGAGAGACAGAGCATGAACGGGGGAGGGGCAGAGAGAGAGGGAGACACAGAATCGGAAACAGGCTCCAGGCTCCGAGCCATCAGCCCAGAGCCTGACGCGGGGCTCGAACTCACGGACCGTGAGATCGTGACCTGGCTGAAGTCGGACGCTTAACCGACTGCGCCACCCAGGCGCCCCAGGAGTTTCTTTTTAAGAGGCAGTAAGTATATCATTGACGCTGAGTTTAGGAACTCTGGAGACAGACTGCTAAGGTATGCCTCCAGGTATGCCACTTATCACATGTGTCACCTTTCACAGGTGTTTGATTTCTCACTGCCTCCCTCACTTTATCAGGTGTAAAGATGAGGATGACAATAGTACCTACTTTTATAGTGTTTAGAGAAGGAGTATAATGAGCTACTTTCTGTAAAGAGAATGATATGAAGAAGAGCTTACACATATATTAAGCAGAGGTAGACATGTATGTAAAGTTGAGGTTCTTTGGCATATTTGTGATTATGAGAATTTTAAAAAATTGTTATATGTCCCACACATTCAGAAACAATAGTGCCTATAGGAAAACAAGTGTCTATACAAAAACAATGATAATATACATAATATGTATGAAAATGAGATCTTTCAGTCATCTCAGTAGAAAGAGCTTGTAGGGCACAAGTAAAAATCATGACAAAATCATAATACCAATGACTCGTGTTTCTTGAAGGTTTAAATGCCAGGCACTATGCTAAGTCTTATCTGGTTTCAACAACTATATCCTCATCTGGCTAGTTACATAATATTGGAGAATTTCCTCTTTCTAAGCTCTGATTTTATCATCTGTGAGGTAGTTATTGATATCTGTTCTTAATAAAGGTATATTATTAGAATAAAATGAGATAATGTAATGAAATGATCAGTGAGCTGGTACGTAATTATATGAAATAATATATTGATAAATTATGTATAATATAATCATAATGGTGATTAACAGTTGATCCTGATTTTTCTTGACAGCACAGATGTTTTAGGAGCTGCTGACTTCTCTGACCCTAGGTAGTTTACTGAATCAAAAAAATATATATAATATATATGTTTATAATATACATATTAATGAATATACATATTATATATGATTTAATAATATATTAGCATAATATAAGCATTATATTATGTTAATATGCAACATACATTATGTTTATTATATAAGGATATATAACAATGTAATTATATAATAATGTATAATTGTAACATGTATAATGTATATTATATATAATACATGAATATTAGTGTAATAATATAATTAATGTATTAGTGTAATAATATGTAATAATACTGTTGTATATATTATTCATTGATAGGTAAAGGTTTTTGTGAAGTATGTCCATTTTAATCATCTTCCTGCCATACATGGAAGGTTTTGGGTTTTTTAAAAATTTTTTTATAATGTTGGTACCCTTGTGGTGTGCTTGTGGTTAATAGTCAGTTGTCTCTGTGGTCCCAATAATGATCCCATACCTAAATTCTCTTATTTGAGTGTTCTGCCTATCAATGGTTTGCAGGTTTTATTCTTGACTACAATTCTGACCATGCTTTAATTTATATGTTTTGTCCCTGTCTGCTGAGTAGATTGCGAGGCTCCCCTGTGGCATGGTTCATTGCCTTCTTTTGATTCCTGGTATCTAGCACTTTGCTAGGTAGAACAGGAAACAAGTGATCAGTATATATTCATGGAATAAGTAAATTAGGAAAGAATAGGAAGAAAGTCAAATTGACGTGAGAGTAACCTGTATTTCTAAGAATCAGGAAACTGAGCTTCAAGAAATCTTAAAGAATATTGATCTAGGAGGATTCGGCCTCTAGGAAGATAACATGATGCCAAATAAGTTAGAATTTGCATGTTCTATTTGTTTCCGGCTGGAGGGTATAAAATAGAGAGTTCCAACTATTCTGAAGCTTTTCTTTTAACTAACTTAATACATTGTAATTCATTAAACAGAGGCGGGCTAGCAGAAAGACTAAATGGACTGCAAAATCGAGAGAGATCTGCCATTTCTTTATGGAGACATCAGTGTGTTTCTTACCAAAAGACACTTTCAGGTAAGGTCTGCACTGACATCTGAGACTGTGGATAAAGAAGATGCTAGTCAAAATTATTTTTTGTTAAGATATATTAATTTAATCATTACTGTTTTCATGATGTTTTCTTTTTCTCCAGGTGTCCTATGGGTCTCAAAAATTGTTCTGAAAGATGAGTCCATTCTTATAAGGTCTACTTATCCCTCCCTATAGAGCTTCTCACAGTTCAATAGAAGACATACTCTTGATCTGATTTGGAGAGCTCTGTGTTAGGCTTTTCTTTTGCTCTTAGCTTTTTGCTCATAGCTTTCAGACTTCTGTGACTGTGATCCCTAGTAAAAAATACACCTTATGTATTGAGGAGGGCACCTTTTGGGATGAGCACTGGGTGTTGTATGGAAACCAATTTGACAATAAACTTCATATATTGAAAAATAAAAAATAAAAAAAAAAAGAAATACACCTTATATAATCTCCCAGTGCACATATGATTTACATGCGTGCACAGACCCCTGAAACGTTTTTTAAACAACACTAATCTTAATATGTGTGATATACTCTGCATTGTCTTTTATTTTTCCCATAATCCTAATCTCACTAAATTGATATAGGTCCCTTCTAATAAATTACAGGATGTAGTTTGAAGTTGCTACTACAAGCAAGTGACTGAAAACTTGTTTTTTAACAAATTGTTTGATGTTAAGAATATTTCATATACCTGGAAAAGCTCCCTCTTCTGTGAGACTGTGGTTTTTTTCATGGTTTCTTCTTGAGTGGTCTTTCCATTAGGAGTGGGGGAAAAAGTAGGTGGGAATGGTCATCTATTAGTTTTCTCTCCAGGGGGTTCCTTGGAATATGCATCTTAATAGGCTCACAGTTTATTTTGGCACATGTTAGCATGCAAAATAGAACAGCAGTGCTAGATAAAATACTCAACCAGTATGTTGTCAACTGTTGCACTTTTCTCTGGAAGACTTTTTAATTTTGATCTCATTCATTATCTTTAAAATCCTTCCCAGCTGGCACCTGGCTAGCTCAGTCAGTGGAGCATTTGACTCTTGATCTCGGAGACGTAAGTTCGAGCACTGTGTTGGGTATAGAGATTACTTAAAATTTAAAAATCTTAAAAAATAAAATGAAGTAAAATTCTTCCCAGCTATCTTCTAGCAACTGCCTTCTCTCACATTCTTGTATCAGAGAGTATTATAATATGACATATGTTATCAGGATGACCTGATACATATGACCCAAGAATACTTTTTTTTATTACAGGATGCTATGAATCAGCCCATTGTTACATTTATTACTTTGTATCTTATCTTTTTTATATATAAAAGATTATATTAAATAATCATCTTCACAACTCATTTGATTAGTCAGAAAACCAGGTATACATAAAGATTGACAATGAGTTTTATTACTCAGGGAAGTCAGTAATAAATACTCTGGCATAAGCACAAAAAGAATTTAATAGGACTTATACCTGAAAGCCACAGGGAGAAAATTTCACTTCAGGCATATTGGTTTGAAAAGATTGGTAGGTCTTTTCCACATGGTAATTCACAGCGTCACGTCTGATAAAAAGAATGCTTTCTTTTCTAATATTTTACGAATGATTTTCATTGATCTGCAGAGACATGTACCCCTCCTTGAACTAATCACTACTGAGGTGGAGTATAATAAATAGCCCTATAATTAACTTGTGATCTTTTTCAAGACTTATTTAATAAAAATAAGAATGCTTTGTGATTTTAGAATATATTTTTTCATTTTAACCTTTCAGTAATCTCTCATATTCTATTTATAAATATTTACCTGTACGTACGTAACCTCTCAAATGTGATGTCCTTGATTTGGAGTGATCATTTTCTCCTATAATCTATCCACTTCCACCTCTAACTAGTTTCTGTTTAACTTTGTGTCACTCATCATTTTAAATTTAATTTGGGGTTTTATGCATTATAAATTTCTTTTGTTCTGCTTCAACCAGAAAAATATGGCCATGCCACCTAAATTCTCAAACTTACCCTTCTTTCCTATTCTGCTTTTGCCTCCATTCTTTTGAAGTAATTATATAAGAGAATGGTAAGCTTGGATTTCTTTCTGACTTGATATAAATATTTGACTTGGTCGGGGCATCTGGGTGGCTCAGTCGGTTGAGCGTCCGACTTCAGCTCAGGCCATGATCTCACAGTTTGTGAGCTCGAGCCCCGCATCAGGCTCTGTGCTGACAGCTCAGAGCCTGGAGCCTGCTTCAGATTCTGTGTCTCCCTCTCTCTCTGCCCCTTCCCTGCTCACACTCTGTCTCTCTGTCTCTCAAAAATGAATAAATGTTAAAAAAAAAAATTAAAAAAAAATATTTGACTTGGTAAATTTCAATGAAGCAACTTTTATTTTAGTGATATAGGCCAACTTTGTATTGAGAGGTTGGGATGAGGTCATGAGCCACAGGATGGAAAAGACAGGACGGGAAGAATGTAGGACAGGAGGATAGCAAACAGAGTGACTGGAATATCTAGCTTTTCCTTGGAGTCTGGCCACTGCACACTTAAAAAGCCAGAACTTTGTGGGGCCCCTGGGTGGCTCAGTCGGTTGAGCGTCTGACTTCGGGCCAGGTCATGATCTCATGCTTCGTGAGTTTGAGCCCCACTTCAGGCTCTGTGCTGACAGCTTGGAGCCTGGAGCCTGCTTCGGATTCTGTGTCTCTCTGCCTCTCTCCGCTCATACTTTCTCTCTTTCGAGAATAAATAAACATTAAAAAAAAAATCTTTAAAAAA